TATATATATATATATATATGTGCGTATTCTTAGATTTGAAAGAAGAAAAATTAAAATAGGAAAAGAAATGATAATTAGGAATGAAATTACCATCATAAGTACATCTCCTTGTTTTAATCTTCCATCCTTAGCTGCAACGCTATCAGGGTGTACCACTGATATAACTGTACGGTTTCCTTCTGGTTGCAAACTGAATCCTAATCGACTATTCCAACCACGTGTCAGCTCTACCATGAACACCTTTAATAATAATAATTATGCAAATGAAATATATTTTAAGATATTTATTCAGTTTTTTCAATTTTTGTTACAAATAGAAATTTATTAATTTGAATGTTTATTATTTGAAAAACTTCACAAATTCTTCAGTCTCTTTTTTATACATTAAAAAGTAGTAATTTTAATTTTTTTTTCCTACTAATAATAATATTCTCAAATCGAAGCATTTTTATCATTCGTATTTTATTTATTTATTTATTTTTTTTTGAATTCTTTATTTATACAATGATATTGGAAGGAATTAGGAATTAAACTATAACTCGTTCAACGAAAATCTCACCTCGATTCCTTGTTCAAGATTTTTATTAAGGGCAGCTGAATCTGTGGTGTCTTTCCCGGTCTTCTCCTCTTCATTTTTAGTTTTATCTATTCCATCATCTGGGGCGAACATCACGCCTTTCCACTTCAACAAACCCTTGCTACCACCCGGATCTTCTGCTCCTAAGATTTTCCCTGTATGGTAATAAAATTAAATCAGAACGTGCGATATAAAGTTTGTATCAGGCAGTTCATTTTAGTATCAATTATAATTGTGCAAGTTATTTAATTATTTTTAATTAAATTTTTAATGAAATTAATTATCGTTATTCTATTTATTTTTTATAAAATTTATCTTGACAATTGTGAAAAATAATATATGAAAAAATATGTAAATATATTCACGACAACAGTTCACAATACAAATAAATAAAGACAAATTATATAATAGAGAAGTATAGTTTTTACGTTAATTATAATATATGATATAATTTCACGTTAGTTTTTATCACAAGTAGAGTTATAACGTATGTATTAAGAATTATTGATTATTATATTATTTTATATATACGATAAAAAAAGATTAGATAATAAAGATTATATAAAAAATTTATTTTATTGCGATATATTTTAAGATTGAATAAAGATATTATATATTATTTAATGAACTGGCCGTGTACAAGAAGCTTAACTGACTGTTGTACGCAAAATCAAGGTGACAACTCGATATGTATAATGGTAACAAGATATACATATTCGCACGCTACAAAAAGATAAGATAATGAAATGTTACTCGTTTCATTCGTTTGATATTTTTTTTCTGTTTAAAGTAGCATGATTTGTTTTCTTCATTCTTATAATATCAAATTTGATATTCTTAAATATTAAATTTAATCAAATTATTGTTATTTGGTAAATGTTATAAATAAATAAATTCGTAGAAATATAATTAGAAATATAATAAAAAAAAATTAATGCGTGTGCGAGTTACAACTATTAAAAAATTTATATCGGTATTTAAATAACAAAGAATTTTTCATTTAACGCTAGTTAAACGTATCAATTCATTCATCTGTATTAAAAAATTAAAATTACAGAATAAATTTTTTCCACATAATAATTTGTTTCAGAGAAAAATTATCTGAAAATTCAATGGACTGTTATATATACTTTTGACTATAATAATTTGACTATAAAGAAAAATTACTTGTTTCTTTTATCTCACAGAAAATATTCATCCCTCATCAATCCTTTCTCTCGTCTCAATTTAAACTTAACTGTAAATTTCGAACAAAATCAATCCAATATCCCAGAAATCAATATAACAAACTCACCATTCCAATCGAATCAATTCTAACCCTAATCCTTTTAACAAAAGAACCCGAAACAAATTCCCCTTAACCAACCAAAGCGTAACAACCTTTGTTCCAGCCAACTGTAACAAAATTCTACGAAAAATAAAATACAGTGATGCCTTGTATCCTGGCCGAAATTTCGCCCCACATTATTCATCTTACATCTAAACAATTCCTGTTACAGACACTGTCTCCGCAATTTCCAGTACTCCCCTATGATCATCGGTCCCCTGTGGTCCAGGATTCAAGGCATCACGTTTACGTCAAAGTCAAGCTACTAGAAATTCACGGCTCGTCGAGTAGTGAAATATCGATGAACCTGGTATGTCCTGGTCGCTCGAGTGGGTGGCCTTGTTTTTCGTCACAGAGGTATCTGTGCCGGCGCCGCAGGCTGGATTGGCGCTTTGATAAGCGGGATTCTTGTAACTGAACGCTGCGTTGCTCGAGCTGCTCGTCGAGGAGAGTACCGGTGGCATCGAGGCCGGTTCCGAGGGTAGATCGTTGTCGTGCTCGTTGCTGGACAACACGGACGACGGCTCGATCCTCTCGTAATCGCCGTCGGACGTGGTGCTCGTACGTAGCTCGTCCTCGATGATGATCGCGTCCCCGACACCGGGATAATCGAGATCCGAGTCCAGGTTGCAGAACTGAAAATGGGGCTTCCCTTGGGGCGCGGACAGGTCGAGGAAACTCGGTCGGGCCGGTGTCTTGGAGGAATCGCTCGAGTCGCAGACGTCGTACAGGGGTGGCGGATCGATTATGTCAGTTCCAGGTGTGTTTGGCTGGGAATTCGTTATCTGAGTCCTGATCGAGCACTGGTCGGAATCGGATGTCTCCGCCTGGCTGGCCGTCGATGTCGTGTGCACGCTCGGATGCTTTTCCACAGTTTCTGCAACGATGGATATCATCTCTCTTAGACCATGTTTTTTCAGTTATTGGATGGAGTCGATCAGATGGACCGACCTCTCTATTTTTCTATTTTCTTTTTTTTATGCTGATGAGCACTGCCTTTGCGCCTCCTTTCGTATTCCCCCGCGCTATATTTAGCTTTCGTTTATTCGTTACTCGAAACGAGACGAGCTTTGATACGGCTTTTAGTTTAGGCTGAGATTATTTTATGATGAATTTTTTCCCTTTTCATTCACTTTTCATGTTTCGAAAAAGCATATCGAAAGTTTTGTTGAACCATTTGAAAAAGATTTTTTAATAATTTTCGTTCAACGAAAGGAAAAGTACGAGAAGATTAAAAAACTCGAACGTTCACTTTTAACTGATGATAAATATTTCATACAAGAATTTTATTATCTCGAAATCGAGATAATTCTTTTATAATAAAAATTTGTGATAATTTCATTTATCCAACTCTCCTTCCCTTTCCTTCCTTTAAAAATAACGATACCTTCATCGGCAGTAGGAGTACGCGTAGCAAGACGACGTAGTCTTCTCGGAGAGTTGCAAGATGTTCCGGATGATTGTTTGCAACTAGATCCGCTCGATGTACCGGGTGACAATTTTCGAACCGCCAGATCGCACAGCATATCTACAGCCTCTTGTCTGCAAATCAGTATTACCAATATTAATTACCAATTTCAACCGAATTAAAAATTCACGAATAGAAATTTATCGATTCCAAAAATTCCAAAAATCAAAA